CCCCAGTTGTCAGCACACAGACCCTCTCCTCTCTGTGTCTAAAGTCCCCAGCTGCTCCATCTCTCCATGTCATCGTTTTTGCCTGGTATATAAATATTTTTTAAATGCACTAAATTTTTAAAAGTTTTTATTGTGAATTGAGTGATAGTTTACATGGGGAACATCATTTTGTTTCACTGCAATGATTATAATCCCCTGCATGCTTCATCATTCAATAGTATTTACTACTATTCCCTTGTGTGTTTTTTTTATTATTAATTTTTTTGGATGTGCATCAAAACACTCAGGAATATACAATCATTCAAACAGTCAAAGGTCACACCCTGCCCCCTGGCCACCAACAAACAGCCCCTCTCCTTCCAGAAGTCTAGAATCCTCAGCTGCTCTGTTTCTCCATGTCATCATCTCTGCCTCCATCTCTGGTTAAGGCACTAAATTTTGGGGTAGATTGTTATGCGATAAAAGCTAACTGATATGTCTTTATTGTTGTTATGTGCGTGGAGTTGATTCTGACTCATGGTGACCTTGTACAGGATTTCTGAGGCCGTAAATCTTTATGGGGGCAGAAAGCCTCATCTTTCTCCCGCGAAACAGCTGGTAGTTTCGAACTGTGACCTTGTGGTTCACAGCCCGATTTATAACCACTACGCTACCAGAGCTCCTTAACTGATACGTCTTAGCAGAAGGCAAAGAGTGTCTTGAGTTACTGCTCTAGTCTAGAAGTATAAACCTTGAGTCAAAGCTCACCAATCCCAGGCATGAAGCTGGGTTAGTCCATGCAAGGGATTGGTCTCAAGGACCAATGTATGTTCCCCACACATCCCTTCGCTTTGACCTGCCTGCACATGATACTTTTGCTTCAGCTGTCAAGCCCAGAGACGTGTGATTCGGAAGGAAGGGGCCACAGACAGCATGTTCTTACCTGTGGGGCTGAAGTAGGGGATTGGAGTGGCTGGTGTTCCTGAGGAGAGTGTGACAGGTACAGCAACTGAGGAGGAAGCATAAGAAATAGAAATGATGTAGCCCCAGCATCTTGGAGATGCCAGAGACGAGGGGCCTTGACTCTCAGCCTGAACACAGACTGCAGAGGTCAGGGGTGGATGACCAGGGTCCCAGGGCTTTCTTCATTCCCTGGGTCCTAGAGTTTGGGAAGAAGGACCAACTACCCCCACTGGGAGCAACGGGACATGGTCTTCTGAGGTTTGAACACTTACCACTGGAGGAGGGAGTCAAAGTTGGTCTGGTATAACCTGCAGAGTGAGTAAAATAAGAATGAGGAATGTTTGAAAAGGTTTAGGGAGGGATGGAGAGGCCATTGGGAAGGCTCCAAGGGGGCATCCTTGGGTCAGGAGGTCATTTTCCTTCCAACCTTTCTCTGACTGTTCACCTGTGTGTGTGTGTGTGTGTGTGTGTGTGTGTGTGTGTGTGTGTGATTTAGCCCTAGGTGGTGAACCAGAAGCTTACAAAGGAAAGAGTGAGACGGAGAAATCTAGAAGCATACAAGAATGCAACCTCTGGCCAGAGCTTAGCCACAGCAGCAACAGGACCCACCTGGGGGATAGGAGGAGACCGCTATTACTACAACCACCCACCATCGACATAGAGACTGTTTCTGTCCAGGGTGTAGGGGCCCAGCTGAGTGATGCCATGTGTCAGGTGGTCCAGCTCCCTGTAGATCTGCTCTCTGTCCAGCCCAAGGCCTGAAGGGTCAGGATGATGGGTACAGACAGCATCCACTCTGCTGGCATCTGCATCATTCTCAGGCCTGGGGAGAGAAGGACATAGGAATGTGGACAGGTCCAAAGGCGTCCATGGCAGACCAACATTTTCCAAGCCCACTTGTGTGTGGATGCTTGCTAATCAGCCCTGCAGGCCCAGATATGAGCTAACCACAGAAGAAGGGGCATCTTTGGGCTATGGAAGATCCGTGGGTGTTTTAGAGTCAGACAATGAATAGTACCAATCCTAGCTCTGTCATTGAATAACCATACAACTTTTCTGACACTCAGTTGTCCCAGCTGCACACTGTGAATAATGCAGCCATCGCTTGGCTGGAGTGTTGTAGAATTCAGAGATGACTGATTTATAATACCCATTCCCGGTGCCAGGTACATTGGAGGTGTTCATGAACTAATTACCAAATAACTACTTACAGGCCACCTGCACAGTCTACAAAGACCAAACAACAGTTCTCAACAGACACGACTCAGCTCTCAGGAAACTGAGCTGACCTGAGCAGTGAACATGAGCAGTTGTGGAGTAGAGGCCCCTCACCTGGCACCTACCTGCCAGGTCCTGCATTCCCATCTCCCTGGGGCAGCCGGACAAGCCAGGTCTGAAGGGATGACCTGGGAGGTGAACCAGTTGTGCTGCCAGAGAACATTACAAGGGAGAACCGGAACCATCCTTGTACCTCTACATGTAGAAATTGCTGAACTGCTGTATGTTTCTCTGTGAACATTCTCAACAACAACAACAACAAAAATCAAAGACACCGCATTATCTATGAATTTGAGACATAGTCTAAATACATAGTCCCTACTTTCTAATCTTTAAGAAAAGATGTCTCATTTGGCAAATCTCTTAAAGGCAGAACATACTAGTCTTTGACCTTGCACTGACTTTTATTGTGTGAAGCCAAGGTAAGCATTTCACATATAAGCCCTCAGTTTCTGATAACTTACTGGGAGAAGACAGAGGTAAAGGGATCTTTCTCTAGTTCCTTACTCTCTCTAGTGCCTCAGAGGCCACTGAAACTTCACCTGCCCATGTCAGTTTCAAACACTGGATGCAAGGGGCTTCCAAGTTCAAATCATGGTTAAGCCCTCCTCCTGAGATCTCTTGTTAAAGCAAAATCCCGAAGTCTAACGATTTGGACTCTAGTCAGCTAACTAGCACTGTAATTGTAATCATTCATTCTGATTTCCCAGCCCTCATGAATAACTTTATACACATGTGAAAGCTGGACAGTGAATAAGGAAGAACTGATGCTTTTGAGTTATAGTGTTGAAGGAGAATATTGAAAGTGCCATGGGCTGCCAAAAGAACCAACAGATCTGTATTGGAAGAAGTGCAATCAGAGTGGTCTTTGGAGGCCAGGATGGCCAAACTTCATCTCTCATACTTTGGACATATTGTCAGGAGGGACCAGTCGCTGGAGAAGGATATTATGCTTGGTAAGGCGAAGAAGAAAAAGAGGAAAGTCAGAGAAAAAGAGGAAGACCCCCAGCGAGATGGATCGGCAAAGTGTCAGCATCAATGGGCTCAAGTGTAGTAACAACTGTGAGGTTGGCGCAGGATCAGACAGTGTTTCGTTCTGTTGTGCATAAGGTTGCTATGAGTCGGTACTGACTCAGTGATGCCTAACAGCAAGAACACATGAATGTGTTGAAGTCTTACTTGTATCCATGAGCTGCATGGCTGCCTTTGCAAGAAAATGAGTTTATACATGATAAGCCTGAGAAGCTATTAATTTCTAAGCTAAAGTACTTCTAAACATCCTTGAGGGGGAGGCTTGAAAGAAATCTATCGGTTCCTCGTTGAGAAATGGTATAGTTCCTTGTACATGAGTTTACACTGCAAGTCCAAAGAGAATATCACTCATATTTCCAAGAGGGCCCCCCTGGAGTGCAGTTTCTTCAGCTAGCTGGATTGACACGTAGCTGTAACAATAGTCTCAAAGATAGCAAGGCCTGTGAGGATGGCACCCGATTGGACAGGATTGCTAGGAGGTGGGACAAGCTTTTCAGCACTTAACAGCTGCAACTCTTCTAAGTGTAGAGCATTCAGGTCTTGTAACTTGGACTACCTAATTGGATTTAGATTGACTTAGGGCAGTATAAGGATCTCTGGTAGTGTAGTGGTTACGAGTCAGGCTGACAACATCAAGGTCAGCAGTTTGAATCTACCAGCGGTTCCGTGGGAGAAAGATAAGGTGTTCTGCTCCTGCAAAGATTTATAGCCTTGGAAACCCTGTGCAGGGTCACTATGAGTTGGAACCGACTCCACGGTACATAACAACAACAACAAAGGGCAGTATAGGAGTCTTGGTGTGGCGCTGTGGGTTAATATGCCAGACTGCAAATCAGTTTGAACTTTCAAGGTCGGTGGTTCAAGCTCACCAGAAGCTCTTCGGAAACCCTATACAGGGTCCATATGGTTCAGATGAGACTCAATGACACTTAACAACAGGGCAGTATACTCCTGGTATGGCACTGTAGCATCAGTTCAAATCCACCAGCTGCTCCTCTGGAACCCTATACGGAGGTCACTATGAGCCAGAGTCGATTTGACAGCACTTAACAACAACACGGCTGTATACAGGGCCAGCCCCAGGCTGGGAAAAGGGGGAGGCAAGTGAAGCACAAGGGGACAACATATAAGAAGGGGATCACTATCATGGTTGTACAAGTATAGGGTTGGGCCGTGCTATGGAATGAATTGTGTCCTTTCAAAAAATGTATCCAAGTCCTGACCTCGAAACCTGCAGTTGTAATCTTATTTGGGAATTGGATTTTCGTCAGTATGAAGATGAGGCCAGATCAGTAAGTTGTTGGTGGTGATGTGCTGTGAAGTTGGTTCTGACTCAAAGTGACTCTGTATGGAGTTTCCGAAACTGTAAGTCTTAAGCCTCATCTTTCTCCTGTGGAACGGCTGGTAGTTTCGAACTGCTGACCCTGAGGTTAGCAGCCTGACTCGTAATCACTATGCTACCAGAGCTCCTTAGGATCAGTGTAGGGTTTGACTAACTGTAATCACTTCTAAGTTATAAGGAGCCATATAGGTACAGAGATAAGCATGCCCTATGAAAAGAACCGGTTCTCTGAATTCTGTCTTCTAGTCTTCTGATGTGGCACTGTGGGCTAATGTGCTGGACTGCAAAGTTGGTTTGAACTACAACGTCGGCAGTTCAAGCGTACTAGCCCTTCCTTGGAAACCCTATAAAGGGTCGCTATGGGTTGGAACCTGCTTGATAGCAATTAACATCAGTCTTCTGAATTGTGAGAAAATAAAGTTTCTGTTCACTCAAACTGTTCACATGGGGGCATTTCTGTTACAGCAGTACAAGTAAGGCAGCCTCTGAGAGTGAGTGCCTCCTTCAAGTGACCCCTAGGTGCTTCCCTGGCCCCACCCTGGCCCACACCTAGTTATCCATCGCAAGGCAGCCCAGAAGGAGATCCTCACCTCAGCGTGCTCAATCTGCAGCCGGCGTAGAGGGAACCGAGACTGGTGTTGGCGAACAATGGCTTGAACTGAAGGAGAGGAAGTGGGTGAACAATTTTACAACCGTAAATGATTTTAATAAAACAACTCCCTAGTCCACTCAGCTGTCTGTTTAATTTTCAAAAACCACCATTTGTCACTGAGAGTGCCGATTTTTGAAGTGGGGACTGTCTGCCTATTGCACTCATGATTTTAAGCACTCTGAAATCCCAGAAAGTGGAGCAGGGAGGCTACGGGAGTATGCAGAAGAAGTTGGAAAAGAGGAATGAGTGTAGGAGGCTCTCACCAGCTGTTGTAGGACTGACTCTGTGGAATTGAACTTGGCAGAGCCCGGCCACATGTCTTCCGTGTAGTGCAGGTTGGTGATGGTGAAGTTGAGGGTGAAGGGTATCAGGGCTGGGCCAGGGACTGCATGGGGGTGGAGAAGGGTGTCAGAGGCCATCACCTAAGTCCCAGGAGCCCAACGGAGCACTTTCCTCTGTCCTGTAGGACCAGTATGAGAGGGAATCGACACAACAGCAGTGGGTTTGTAATCTGAATGGGGTCAATTCCAACTCAGAGGCCTCTACAGGACAGAGCAGACCTGCTTTATCAGACTTCCAAAACTGGAATTTTCAAGCAAGCAGACTACCTCTTCTTCCATCCACAGAGCAACTGGTGGGTTCGAACTGCCAAACTGCTACGTTTCTGTTAGCAGCCCAATACTTAACACAGTGTACCACCAGGTTTCCTTAATTTGAAAGAACAACATGTGACTTTTCCATTTGATTATGCACGATTGCATCTGCAAGACACACTACACAAATATTGGATGAACTCAGAGAACCAAACCTGGGAGTTCTGAGCAGGTACACTCTTCCCAGCCTCCCAGTTCCCTCAGATGCCCCAGCGTTAGAGCCACACCCAAAGAATACAGGTTCTGACAGTCTTCCAGCCTCACACGTTCTTCTGACTCCCCACAATGACTTACTAGCTGCAACCTTTTCAATGTCCACTTTCACAAGCAAACTTCATGCCCTTTTCAAGGTCAAGTGCCATGTTTACTATATACATGGGTCTAACCCATTTCACATGTATAAAGGAGCTGTGGTACCTAGTGGTTATGAGTTGGTCAGCAGTTCAAAACTATCAGCTGT